AAAATCGCCTACACCGGTACAGGCTCCCTTCTTTCTCTCTCTTCCTTTCACTCTTATCAAGTAACTCACAATTACTTATTTCTCTTCTTCCTCCGTGAATCCTCAACCCAAAGATAGCTAACTTCTATATATAACTAATTTATATAATTTAAATATTACAAATATCTACTTATCATTACTTCCTTAACCTCCCCATCCTCTCACCTATAATCCATTAAGCCTAATGCCCCAAAGTCCTCTATTTCACATAAATGAAAGTTTCATTTCAAACATACATCATGACTTTGGCTTAATAATATTATTATTATTATTTCTACAATATTATTATATTCTTATTATATTCTAATTATTATTATATTATTATTATTCTTATATTCTAATTTTTTTTATAAAACATAATCCATAAAATATAAATACTAACCTTAGGATAGGTAGAGCACATAAAAACGTAATATACAGAGCATGATAAAATATTATTTTATTATTTATTATTCTTACTTTATATTATTATAAAACACAAATAAATAAAGTATAAAAATTAGCATTATAATACGTAGTGCACATAATCAACATTTCACGCACAAATAATTAATTTAATAATCTAACATTAAAAGATGAATAAACTTACACATTATAATATTAATTTAAATAATCACTTCAAAAAAATACGGGGTATTACATTTCAACTTAAAACAAAATATGGCTTTGGTTTGTAAGGATTAAAAACACAATATTTACTTCCAAAAAAAAGTATTAAGGGTGTGTTCATGGAATTACCAAATCAATTTCACAAATTTCTTTTAAAGTTTCAACTTAAAAGAAATATGTTCATGGAATTAGAGCCTTAGAATTAGAATTGATGAAATTTGAGAAAATTTTAGTTCAATTTTCTTAATTGTTTTTCTCAAATTTCAGGACTCCAATTCCATACAACCAAACACATTCGATCTCTTCTTGGTTCTAGGATAAAGGTTGGTGCTCTTGTAATTGCCAAGACTTCTTCCTTGCTGCTTTTGATCCTCTACTCTTATAGATCTCAAAACTGGATTCCATTCTGTCTTTGTAAAAAATATTACGATTGTTGACATTCCTTCCCAAAAGCATAACATGTGGCCCCTTCTAATCTTCATCGATCCATTATGCACTTCACACCGACCCTTGGAATCCATTGCTCCCGCATAAATCACATTCCTTCGAATATGACTTACATTCATTTGTTAGTCTTCTTAGCAAACTATTTGTTATCTTAGGGGTCTAACTCTCTCTCTCTCTCTCTCTCGTTTTGTTTCTCTCCTCATGAGAGTTCTCAGGTGTGCTAAGTTTCTCTGTGTCATCAGAGCCTGATTTTTCTTTCTTGTTGCCGTTGTTCTTGAGTTTGTTGTGCGGTGAACGTGATGTTTGACCCTGGCTATTCGCGTTTCCGTTTTCACTTTGATCGTGAGGTGTTCTTCTTGTGGTTATGGTGGTTTCTTCGGTTCTTTGTCTTTGTGTGGATGGGTTCTCTGCAGCGTTGGCTGAGGCGAGTTTTTTCCTTGGATCTGTGCTGGATAGTGGTCGGAGTTCGTTGTCGGCTCCGATTGTGGGGGTGTTTCCGGTTGGTCTGGCTCGGGCTCTGGTGGGTCTTGTGTGGTTGGGCCCGGTTATGGTAGGCCCTGGCCGGTCATTTTCACGTGGGGCTCATTCCCGTGGGTCTGCGTCAGGGGATGCAAATGAGCTTACTTCTTACGGTTTACTCCTTTGTGTTTGGTTTCTTTAGTCGCCACGTGTTGCTGTTATCTTCTATACGCTCATTCCTTGTTCTAATGCTTCACGTGGGTCTTTGTACGGGTCTCTTCAAATTGTGGTTTCCTTTCATGCATGTTTGTGTGCAGTTGTACTTCATCTCTTCCTCCTTTTTATTTATGGTTGGGATATGATACTTGTCGTCCAAGGGTTAACCGAATTCTATAGGCTTATAGGTTCTTCTCTTTTTGTTTTATATTCTCTCGGTCGTCTATGCTTCTTTCTTGGGTGTCTGGTTTCTATCTTACAGTGTCGGCGTAAGTTGGGGGTCTTTTTTCGTGGTCCTGTTTTTTCTTTTGCTTGTCTTAGGTTGATGGTAACTTCTTTGATTTCTCAAATGAATGGCTTAACTCTTACGAGCGTGGAGAAGCTGCCGGTTTAGTTATCAGCTGAGGATACAGCTCAAGGGGTGTCGTTGTGTTTCAATAACTTGTTTGGCAAGGTCTGGGCTATGAAGACTATTAAACTTGCTGGTGCTAAGTATACGTTTGGTCAGATGTTTCAAAATTTATGGCCAAAGGAGCGCCAGTCTGAAACTCTGTCTTCCCGTCTCGTTGTTTACAAGATTGCATGGAATTTTTTTCAACTTGTTATTCCGGACAGCTCGGTTTGTCTCCGGATCTTGCATAGCTACCCCTGGTTGTTTGATAGACATTTGTTGGTCCTTAAAGAGTGGGCTGACGGTCTTTTACTGTTCGAGTCGGCGTTTCAGATTTCTCTATTTTGGCTTCAACTTTGTGATGTTCCAGCGAATTACCTATCTAAAATGGTTGGTCGGCACATCACTGATTCATTTGGCCGATGTTTGAAGGTAGAGTTGCGGGACAAGGGTGTGATGGAGAGTAAGGAGACGTTGTTGGTTGATAGTCGAGTTCTCCGTCTCAAAGTGGAGTTGGATATTTCTAAATCGCTTCATTGGAACGTGCGGTTGCTTGGTCCATAGGATACAGAGTTCTGGATTCCAGTCCGGTATGAAAAACTCACGTCCTTGTGTTATGCTTGTGGTCTTATTGGGCATGACTGGCAGAATTGTTCGGTTGGAGCTTCTCAGCCCCATGTGGCATTGCTGGAGTATGGGCCATGGTTAGGGGTGGAGGGTTACTTGGGGAAGGATATCTGGAATCCCGATAGTGATCGTACTGATTCTTTGGCTGTGAGTTCCGGCAAGAATTGGCTCTATGTGGAGGGTGATGATTTCGATGGGGTTTTGGGCGACCTCACTGTGCATGAGCCTAGTAGTCAGGTTCCTTCTGATACTATTCAAGTTGTGGAAAAGGTATTGTCAAATGTGGGGGTGGAGGATAGGGAAGGGGTTGGTGTTGCTTTCGGTGTATGTTCCAAGTCTCCCTTTGAGGGGTTTCTGTTGGGTGTCCAGGCGATTGTGGGATCGGGTCACTCTGATGATTGTGTTCCGGAAGGGGCGGGTGTGAATGGGTCGACCAATAATGATGTTCATGGCTCCCCATCTTAGAGTTTTGTGGCTTTAGTCCATGGGGAGGAGCCTGTTCAGTGTGTGCCATCCGTTTCTCACGCCCAACGACGAGTGTTGCCTTTGTCCCGGTGGGATCAAATCTCTAAAGGTGGTAGGAAAAGTAAAGGTCCGGCGATGTCTCGTAAAGGTCGTTCTTTAGCTTCGTCGGATTCCTCTAACGGCCAGAGCTCAATTTCTGCACGGAATAGTTGTAAGCGTCGCACTAGTAATCCTATGTTGGTTCCGGGCGCCTCTTTGATTGATGGAAAGAAACCTAAGGTCTCAGTGGCTTCTTTTAAGGAATGTTTGATCACAGATCAGTTTTCCTTTGAAGTTGCGGGTAATATTCCACTTGGTGTGCATACCGGCGATTATGTTCCCTCGGACTCATCTCCATCGTAGTCTTTTGCTACATAGCTAGCTTTTTTAGTTGGTGATTTTCAACTTAGGGTTGACACGTCCCACTGATATGTTGTTTCTGTTGTTTTATGGGGTCTCACTTTTTTATGTTTTTGATTGATTGTGTATTTTTGTGTGGTTATCCTGTTTCTGCTTGTAAATGCCGCTAGGGCTGCAAGTTGGACTGGCCCAGCCCAGACCCAACCCAACCTCAACCCGAATCGGGTTGGGTTGGGTCAGCCCGAAATGTATTCAACATGGGTTATGGTCAAACCCAGCCCGAATATTCCCGAAATGTCGGGTCGGGTTGACGGGTTGAGTTTTTTAAAATAATATTTTTTTTTTGGAAAATTTATATATATTATATAAATAAATATATATATATTATATATATATATTTGATTATATTATTATTAAAAAGTAACAAAAGTTTAGGGCAAATCATTTCAGCCTCCCCAATCGCAGGCCTCATTCTCAACTCTCTCTCTCTCTCTCTGCAACTACAAACTACAAAATCTACAAGAATCAGAAGTTCAAAACCTATACATTTTCAGATCTGTCTGCAAGAATCAGAAGTTCAAAACCCATATATTTTCAGATCTCAGTGTTAATTTTATTTATTTATTTTAAAACCCAGATGTGGTTCCTCCAAATCACCACCACCACTCGCCGGAATCTGATGCCAACTCCAGAGCTCCTCCTCCGCCGCCACCTGAAGAAGAAACATTCAAAGAAGTGCTCTCCGAGACACCCATTCCGAAACCACCCATTTCTACACAGATCGAACCTACCAACAACAAGCTGCCTAAAGTCGATGAAGCCAAGATCCAACCAATGGCTGAGGTTTTTGAGGTTTCAGACTTGTACAGTTTCAGCAAGAGTTTCTCGACGATGACGGTGACTGATAAAGGAGATGACGACGGAGAAGTGAACCAGAGAGTCGAGAGGTCCCCTGCGAAGGTCTCAAATAGACGGCCGTCCTCTGGCGAAATCGCAGGAGCGAGTAAGAGGAAACCCAGATCTTCGGCGAGGAGGCAGGCGTTATCGCCGAAAAGAAGAAGCAACATCACATCAAGGCCAGCTCAGGATCAGACAACCACGACCAGACAGCGCAAAGAGAAAGAAGAGAGATGAGAGAGAAAGGAGGAAAAAAAATTTTAATTTTGGGTTATGGGTTGGGTTCGGGTGGAGCCCGAGCCTAACCCGAATATGTATGGGTTTTGACAAAACCCAATCTGAACATGAACCCGATTTGTGAATTGTATGTCCAAATTTCAAAATTCCTGGTTGGGGTTGGGCTGGGTTGGGCTAACCCACCCAAGTTGCAGCCCTAGATGCCAGGGCATTCTATTGCGAAGCCAAAAAAAAAAAAAAAAAAAAAAAAAAAAAAAAAACACTATTTGTTATCTTGATTTTACACAGTATCGAATGTCTTTCCCGCAAGAAAAGAGAAGTGGTTCCAAGAAATCAACCGGTTTATTCTATGATTATGAGAAAATAAATAAACTGAATCAACATTTAAATATCTCCATTTTTTGAAAAACCAGTATCTTATGCCCCCTCCCTTTATATACACTCCATATTTCAGATGTTCATACTATCATATGACTATGAGCTGAGGATAACCAAACGGCGGGTGGGGAGATAACGGCGATAAGAGAGGGACGGTAAGGCTACCATTGATGTTTTCATCCCAGAAGGCATTACAAATAGACGACGGCGTTAACGGATGAGGATTGTCAAATTCCGGCAACCGTTCCTTCTTCAACGGCTTTTGCTCCGCCTCTGCCTCCACGTCTCTCTGTCTTTTCCGGCCGCCGTCCACGGCGGCGAATGTGTCATGCGACTTCCCTCCGACCTCGAGTGGAAAGTTGAGAATAGCTTTGATTCCACGCAGCTTGAATGCGGCTCTATCGTACGCTTTGGCGGCTTCAATGGCGGTGTTGAATGTGCCGAGCCAAACCCTAGACCTGCGCCGGTTCGGATCTCGGATCTCCGCCGCGTACTTGCCCCACGGCCTTCGCCAGACTCCTCTGTAGTTTACTCTCTCCTCCTCTGTATCCAAAGGTAGCGTCGATGGCTGAGTCGACTCGGCTAATTCCAAAACTTCAAGTTTCTTTACCGGAGCCACATCGATCTTCAACGAAGGCCTGCGGTCGTTGAATCTCTGCTCAGAATTCGATTGACAGTCCAAATTCAACGACGTTGGGCTGGTGAGATCGATTATTTGAGGTTTTGATTCGAATCCAAAGAAATCATTTTGAATTTGCTCGAAAGTGATGGAATTTGGGATAAATTCGAATAGATCACTGGTGCTCACTTCATCGGAGACGAAGCTCGAACTCACGGGAGATAATTCACCTAGGAGGTGTTGTCTAATGAATTGGAGAGCTGAGATTTCCTCGTGAGTGGCCATTGTCAAAGTTATCCAAGTTTCCGATAACAAATGTAGAGAGAGAAACAGTAGAGTAAGCAAGCTGAAGCTGGATTGTTCCGAAATGGAGTGTAGGGAGAGAAAAGAAATCTAGAGAGAGAAAGTTTGAAGTGGGAGAGAGGTGTGAGAGTGGAAGAAAGAGTGGAAATGTATATATAGAGAGAGAAAGGGAAAGAGAGAGGATTGTGTCTTCCCCAAAATAGCAAGTTCGCTGGGTGGTCGTAGGATGCGAGAAGGAAAGTTCCTCCCTAAGTTTCGATCACCTGTGGATGAGGAGTAGGTATTCCTTTAATTTTTGACCGTTGGATAATACTCTAGATTTGAATATCTGAAGTCAAGGGTCATCGCAGACGGTTGGTGTTTAGGGCTGCAAATGAACCGAGCTGTTCATGAACAGCTCGGGCTTGGCTCGTTAATGGCTCGGCTCGGGCTCGTTCATTAAGCAAATGAGCCGAGCTCGAGCCTAATTTCTAGGCTCGTTTACTAAACGAGCCGAGCCTGAGCAACGTTGGGCTCGGCTCGCATAGGCTCGTGAACATGGGCTCGTTAAGGCTCGTGAACAAAACTCGTATCAGGCTCGTTATATATATCAGACCCATTATATATATATATCAGGGCCATTTGTTTTTATTGTACATTTAAAATGTTTAGTCCATATTATTTTTAAGTTTGGCCCAGCTCATATTTTTCATTAATATAGCCCAAGCATTATAACTTACTAGCCCAAAGAAAATCCACCATAGATCCATAGCCCAAATAAGATTTCGTCTCACCCATTAAAATAGAACCCATCTCATCCGTTGATTTTGTAAGATATCAAAAAACCCTAAAACTACACCCCACCATTCAGATCTGCCTCTTCTCCACAACATCGTCAGTCACTCTCTCTCTATCACTCACTCACGAGTTACGAATCAACTCCACCGGCAACAACAACCCTTCCATCTACACAACTACTTCTTTGTCTCTCTCTAATCAACTCAATCGCCATAACTCTCTCTCTCAGATCTGAACGCATCATCTGTCATGTCATCGTCTGTGCCGCTGTCCTTCCATCCTCGTCATCATCGTTGGCCATCATCTATCCTCGCCATCAATTAGGTACTGCATCAATTAATTTTTTGGCAAAACTTTATTTTCACTTTAATTCCATGGATCTGGATAACCTCAAAACATTCTTTAGGCAATTGCAGACAATTTTGTTTAGTCTTTTATTCTGCTTCTTCTAAATTTATAGAGATTAATGCTCAATGGCCACAGGTAACTAAATTAATTTATCTCCAACTTATTTCCTCTGTGATTTCTTTTTCTACTTAATATATACAATGTTTCAATGGTTCTATAGATATTATTATCATGGGAATTTATAATTTTTTGATGTGTTGTTTTTTCATAGAAAATGCATAATGCACTCATGCTCAATTTTGTCCTTTTTTTTTTTTTTTCGAAATTAACCCTTAATTTGTTCTTGAAACATAAAAGCTTGCACTATTGCACCTTTTTTTTTTTTTTTTGCCCTTTTTCTTTTTGCTTACGTGATAATTGATAAAGTAATGGAAAAAGGTATTGTGGCCTGTAGAATACTAATTAATTTTGAATTTTATTTTTATTTTTTTTTGTTAAACGAGCCGAGCCCAAGCTGAGCCCGAGCTTTTAAAATCAAGACGAGCCCGAGCCCGAGCCCAAATTTTTGAGCTCGTCACGAGCCGAGCCCGAGCCCGAGCTGATCCCATAAACAAACGAGCCGAGCCCGAACAGCCTAAAGCTCGGCTCGGCTCGGCTCATTTGCAGCCCTATTGGTGTTCAAAATTAATACTAGCTTTATTCGTCATTTTCTGTTTTCTTGATATAAATAATGGATAATGTAGACATACAATGTATTTTGAATAATATATTAGTGTTATTTATACTGGAGAAGAGTGCAATAAACCCCCTTCAATTATTGGGGTTTTGCAACAAACCCCCTTTAACTATAACAAATCCGCTTGAACTAATAAATTGTTGCATTTAACCCCATCAGTTCAAGACGAGGGTGCCGGGAAAGCCATATATATATATATAGACAGAAGAAGGGAAAGATGAGGAGAGAAAGCAATTCAGTGGATGATGGATTGAATCGGCCGTGGAAGAACTGCGGCGGTGAGCTCGCTAGCTGAAGTGGTGGCAGCGGCAGTGGTCGGCTGTGATGAGGAATTGCGGCGAGTAAGGTAGCGAGGACGAAACTGATGGTTATTCGCGATGGTGTGACTGACGCAGCAATGGGAGACGAGCTTGACTGCGGCGGCTCAGATGGTGGAGAGCTCAGCTGTGGCCTGTGATAGAGCCCACTGGAAAAGCTGCGATCATCGGAGAGTCCCAACGCCCTTTGATTCTTTGCCGTCCTTATAGCGCGTTCATACGCATGACGAACGTGGTGTCCGAGGTGTGGTCTGTGGTGAGAATTTGTAAAGGATATGTGGGTTGTGTTATTGATATAGGGTTTCTTTTTAGGATTTTCTTCTTTCCGTATCTTTGTGGTCAATTGATGACAACCAGAAAATTCAATCTCTCCGATTGTGGGTTCAATTGGGTCCGATGATGTATGATTGAATATAAATTGAATACACATCTTTAAAAAACTCTTAGTCCCAAACACATCCTTACATTATGTATGTGTGTGGATATAAGGTTGTGTGTTGTTGTTTTCTAAATGGGTTTACAGTGGCAATGGAGATACAAAACCCAAAGGAAACAAATAATTTGACCAAGGTTGACATGGTGCCCGTCAATGGTGGATCTATCATCACCGGGTTCAGATATTGAGAGCGATTGAGAGGTATGAAGTTGATTTGGGAGATTATTTAGTATTTTTATGAAATTGGGTTAGGATTCTGAGGATTTTGGGTATGTATATATAATGGTGAGTATTGACGATTGAGAGGTATGAGAATTTGTTGTAGAATGTTTTACTGCACCCATTAGAACCTTATGCTCACCATTGCTTCACCCTCACAAGAACCTTCCAACAGCCCCAAATCAACACCCATTGGCCTATATCGCAACATTCATTACCCAAAAAAAAAAAAAATCCATCCTCAACCCTTCGCCAAACAGAAAAGAAAGAGAAGAAAAAGTTTCAAAATAGGCACGTACCAGAAAAAGAAGAAAAAAGAGTAGAGGACGAAAAAGATGAACAATAAGGGGTGTTAGTGTCTTTTCATGCTCATAAGGTCATTATGGTCATTAAATCATAGGGTGTGCCATGTGAACAATAAGAACCAACTGAAGCCTTGCTGGATGGGGTAATTTGCAATAAAAATGCATAGTGTAGGGGATTAGTTGCAACTTTAGTAGTTTGGGGATTTGTTGATTTCTCAATAGTTCAGGTGAGTTTTTTGCACTTTTCTCTTTATATTATCTAATTATTCTAATAGTATAATAGTTTTATTTATGCTATGACCATGACACCATGTGTGCAGGTATCTTTTTGTTTTTTGTTTTTTGTTTTTTGTTTTCTTGAATTTATTTATTTAAACAACTTTCTTTAACTTTAGTTCAACAATTTATTTTAAATAAATTTAACTTTAATTCAGCAATTTATTTTAACCATATATTTGTATCGGACAAAATTTTGTCTTTTTAAAAATTAAAAGATGAATTAGTAGTAATTTTTTTATTTAATTACTACCTTCAATAGGTTCTACACTTGTAGTGTTTCCTTGGAAGATTTAAAATTTTTGTTGGATCTTATTTTTTCCAAATTTTCCCTTAACTCAAAATGATACGGTGATAGGAAAATGTTAGGCGATGAATGTTATACATTTTAGCCTTTAATTTGCGTATTTTATTCTCTTACTAATAGTTTTATCTGTGATTTTATATTGTTTTGGTGTTTTTCTTTATTTCAGGGTCTTAGTTATAATATCAGTCAAAACTAATGATTTTGGGCTTTAAAAGACAATATATAAGAGGTTAGAAGACCACATCTATTGGCCAAGGCAATGATGAAGATCCAAGTCCAATTAGCTTAGAAAAGAGCTCAAGAGAAGGTCACAAGCTGATGAGAATGAAAACAAGAAAAAAAGGAAGAATCCCTCTCCAACTAGGAAACTTTCTCCAAAATTGGGAACTTAAATCCATTTTAGTATTCTGTTTGTATCTATTTCCTCGAAGGTTAAAATGGCTCAATTTTTGCTTAGATTGAAAGGAAATTCGAAGATTTATAATTTTGTAGTTCACAAAATTTTTGTGAAAATGATGTTTACTATGTCAAAACTGAGCTGGAAGTCAGCATGAATTTTAGATTCCGAGTTTGGCAGAATTTCCATATATCTCCTATTTGGAAAAGGGAACTTTGGGGCTATTTTTCTCTTATTTAAAGAGAGTTCTCTACACCATTAGTAGGAGGATAAACACAATAACTAGAGCGTGAAATCAGAGGAGAAGAATAAAGAAGAAAGAAGGGATCGACCTATGGTGGCGAGGATGTTCTTCCTAACCATGAAGAAGTTCATTCCAGTCATGAGTGACTAAAAGTTTCACTAAGGCTGTGATGTAGCCCTTGCTTAGCGCTCTAGGTTTGATTGTATTTATTTATTAGAGAATGATATTTTTCATGCATGATTGTATAACCTAGATGATTTTATTTAACTTTTCAATAGAAATCGTTTTCAAAATTTTTATCCAATTGCAAAGTATTTTCTATCTTGTCTTAGGTATTTAATCTTGTGATTGAACATTACTCATTTACTTCTTGTAGTTGTAAATGGGATGGTTATACAATGGTTTTCATTGAATATAACATTAAGGTTTTGATGGATTATGCTTAGAAAATATAGACCATACTACACCCTAGAGTAGAGTAGTTAGGTAGATAGTTTATGTTAATCGAAGATAGTTCATGCTTAGCTTTAATTTTATGTTATCTTCTACTTGAATTAATATATGCTTGTAGCCATGATTAATTTATTATGCATGTTTCATATCTCTCCAATAAACACTTAAGTTTTTTTTTTTTTGGTTTCTCTGAGTTGTGTTGCTTTTGATTTAGTTCAACCCACGTGGGATTGCCAATGTCTCAATTTTTTAATAAGAGGAGTATTGAATTTTCAATTTCCAACCTCCTTTGAAGCCATTTTCAATTGTTGATTATGGCATATTATAAACCACCAAATTTTCACTCCTATATTGTAATAGTCCACTCCGTCACATGGTATGATATTGTCCGTTTTGGGTCAGAGTTCGTACATTTTTGTTATTGGGTTTTACTCAATTGTATGATATTGTCCGTTTTGAGCCCGAATTCATATGGTTTTGTTATTGGGTTTTACCCTAAAAGATCGTGTACCATTTGGAGATTAAACTAGCTCATATAAGCAATTTATCTTCACATTTCCCACGTGATATGGGATTGCACAACTTGTAGCTCGCCGGTCTACATATATCGCGCACATATAACCTTTATGATAGTTGAAGAGTACGCTTCAAATGAGTTTAAGAAACCCTATGTTCAGTCCAAACTATAATTTTTCAAAAGACTAGTGGCTTCCCATAGATCGTATTAAATATTTATGCAAAATTTTACACGATTGGAAAAAGAAAGCCTTTCTTGAAAGAAAAGATATGTGATTCTCGAGAGCACTGGTTCTTGAAAGCATTAGCGTGATGCCAGCCAGGTACACCTGGTCAAGTCAGTACTTAAAAATTGTATATTAAAGAAATAATTCTTTATTTAATTTTTGTCATCACTTTTACATTTTCATGTCTTGACAAAAGGCATATTAACATATAAACATGTTCAAAAAAATGTTTTACTGTAAGCTGCATGATAAAATGTTTTTTATTGTTTTTTTTTTGGTTGAAATGCATGATAAAATGTTGTAATGGGCAAAGTTCTTCATTAGCTGCCACATAATTAGATTGTATGAGTAAATTTACTTCTCTAAACAATTAATATTTTAAAAATATCCAAGAGATCACCCAGTTTATTAGTACGTATATGATTTTGAGAAAATAAATAAATTGAATCAACATTTAATATCTCCATTTTTTTTGAAAAACCAGTATCTTATGGCCCGTCTTTGTATAAACTCCATATTTAAGATGTTCATATGACAAGCTGAGGATAACCAAACGGCGGGTGGGGAGATAACGGCGATAAGAGCGGGACGGTTAGGCTACAGTTGACATTTTCATCCCAGAAGGCCGTCCAAATAGAAGACGGCGTTAACGGATGACGATTGTCAGATTCCGGCAACCGTTCCTTCTTGAACGGCTTTTGCTCCACCTCTGCCTCCACGTCTCTCTGTCTTTTCCGGCCGCCGTCCACGGCGGCGACTGGGTCATACGACTTCCCTCCGACCTCGAGTGGAAAGTTGAGAATAGATTTGCTTCCACGTAGCTTGAATGCGGCTCTGTCGTACGCTTTGGCGGCTTCAATAGCGGTGTTGAATGTGCCGAGCCAAACCCTAGACCCGCGCCGGTTCGGATCTCGGATCTCCGCCGAGTACGTGCCCCACGGACTTCGCCGGACTCCTCTGTAGTTTACTCTCTCCTCCTCTGTATCCAAAGGTAGCGTCGATGGCTGAGTCGACTCGGCTAATTCCAAAACTTCAAGTTTCTTCACCGGAGCCACATCGATCTTCAACGAAGACCTGCGGTCGTTGAATCTCTGCTCAGAATTCGATTGACAGTCCAAATTCAACGACGTTGGGCTGGTGAGATCGATTATTTGAGGTTTTGATTCGAATCCAAAGAAATCATTTTGAATTTGCTCGAAAGTGATGGAATTTGGGATAAATTCGAATAGATCACTGGTGCTAACTTCGTCGGAGACGAAGCTCGAACTCACGGGAGATAATTCACCTAGGAGGTGTTGTCTGATGAATTGGAGAGCTGAGATTTCCTCGTGAGTGGCCATTGTCAAAGTTATCCAAGTTTCCGATAACAAATGTAGAGAGAGAAACAGTAGAGTAAGCAAGCTGAAGCTGGATTGTTCCGAAATGGAGTGTAGGGAGAGAAAAGAAATCTAGAGAGAGAAAGTTGAAGTGGGAGAGAGGTGTGAGAGTGGAAGAATGAGTGGAAATGAATATATAGAGAGAGAAGGGGAAAGAGAGAGGATTGTGTCTTCCCAAAAATAGCAAGTTCGGAGGGTGGTCGTAGGATGTGAGAAGGAAAGTTCCTCCCTAAGTTGCGATCACCTGTGGATGAGGAGTAGCTATCCTTTAATTTTGACCGTTGGATAATACTCTAGATTTGAATATCTGAAGTCAAGGGTCATCGCAGACGGTTGGTGTTCAAAATTAATACTAGCTTTATTCGTCACGTTCTGTTTCCTTGATATAAATAATGGATAATGTTGATATACAATGTATTTTGAAGATATTCCAAACAGTAGCACCGTGGCACGTTTGGATAAACTAGTATATAGTAGTATAACAATATACTATTATAATAGTATAATAGTGTTATTTATATTATATAATTATTCTAATAGTATAATAGTTTTATAACCATGAAACCACGTGTGCAGGGTATTTTTTTTTTTTTTTCTTGAATTTATTTATTTAAACAACTTTTTTTAACATTAGTTCATCAATTTATTTATTTTTTTATTTTTTTATTTTTTTATTTTCTTAGTTGGGACTTACACACACTTGAGGTTCGAACCCCTAATTTTCCTTTGGGAAGTAGGAGCCTTATATCGCAAAGCCACAGGCCTGTTGGTTCATCATTAATTTATTTTAATGAATTAAAGTTAAAGAAAGTTGTTTATAATATACATTTTCAAATCCTCTTGTGTAAATATTAACCATATATTTGTATGGACAAAATTTTGTCTTTTAAAAAATTAAAAGATGAATTAGTAGTTTCTTTTAATTAGTAGCTTCAATAGTTTCTACACTTGTAGTGTTTCCTTCGAAGATTTAAAATTTTTGTTGGATCTTATTTTTTTCAAATTTACCATTAACTTAAAATGATACGGTGATTGGAAAGTGTTAAGCGCTGAATGTTATATATTTTAACCTTTAATTTGCGTATTTTATTCTCTTAGTAATAGTTTTATATGTGATTTTATATTGTTTTAGTTTTTTTCTTTATTTTAGGACCTTAGTTATAATATTAGTCAAAACCAATGACTTTGGGTTTTAAAAGACGATATCCAAGAGGTTAAAAGACCACAACCATTGGCCTAGCAATGATGAATATCCAAGTCCAATTAGACCTAGAAAAGAACTCAAGAGAAGGCCACAAGCTGATGAGAATGGAAACAAGAAGAAAATAAAGAATCCCTCTCCAACTAGGAAACTTTCTCCAAATTTTAGAACTTGAACCCGTTTTAGTACTTTGTCTGTATCTAGTTACTCGAGGGTTAAAATGGCTCAATTTTCATTAGAGTTGAAAGGAAATTCAAAATTCTACAAATTTGTATTTCATGAAAATTTCGTGAAAATGATGTTTACTATATCAAAACAGGGCTGGAAGTCAGCTCGAATTTTGGAATCCGAGTTTAGCAGAATTTTCATATATCTCCTATTTATGAAAGTCAGCTCGAATTTGATGTCTTTGAATTTCTGGACCCTCTGGATTTCTGGACCTTCTGGATTTTTGAATTTGTAAATTTTGAATTCTGAATTTGTGTCTGAATTTCTGAACCCTTTGGATTTCTGATTTTGTGTTCCCTTCCTTCTTCCTTCAGGCCTCTATTTATAGATTTCTTAGATCCATAGGATGATGACACATGTCATCTCCTGATAAGGATAAAATAATAATTGGGGCAGGCCGATTATATTATGGTAATTATCTTTAAAATAATTATTCTAAATATATTTTATTAGCAATAATTATCTTTTTATTTAACCATCTGGGCTGGGCTAATTAAATAATTTAAGTGGACCAAGTTTGAGCCAATAAAATAACTTAATTAAACACTAGGCCCATATTTAATGGGTCCATTTATCAAAACCAAAGCCCACTAAAATTTTAGTGTCTACAAATTACCCCCATTTCGAGTCCCAAGTTTGACAGGACTTGTCTCATTTTTCAAATGGGACTTGAAGTATCCAACTTTCCTTTTTTTTTCTTTTTCTTTTTTTTCTCTCGTTCCTCTCCAACTTTGGATTGTAAGATTTCTTTTTTTGCTTTTCTATCCAACTTTGGATTGGAATTTTACTTTCCTATCTGAAATGAATTATACAAATCCTAATACAAACAAGAAATATTTTATTGCCTATTTATACCCCCAATATTATAGGGTTTGACATCAATTCCAATATTCTCTGAAGACTTGTCAGATTACAACCTCTGAAGACTGTGTTGGATTGCGGTCTCTGCTTGAACAAATAATCGGTATGATTTTTTCTTTTTTCTTTCTTTTTCTTAATTTCTTTCTCTCTTTCCTTTTCACGCTTTTTTTTTTTCTTGTTCTTATTTTTTTCTTTTTCTTCCCCTTCCTCATTTTCACGTTTTTTATCTCTGTTTTTTTTCTTTTCACGCACTTTTTTTTTCTTTCCTTTTTTTCTCTCTTCTTTTTTTTTTTTCCACAAACTTTTTTTTCCTTCCTTCTCTTTCCTTTTTCTTTTTTCTCTTTTATTATTATTTTTTTTTCATGCGCTCTTCTATCTTTTTTCCTTCTTTTTTTTTTTTCTTCCCTTTTTCTTCTCTTTTTTCCTTTTTTTTTAAATGCACTTTTTTTTTTTCACGCACTTTTTTTCTGTTCTTTTTTTCTTCACACTTTTTTTTTTTCATGCACTTTTTTTTTCTCTCTATGTTTCATGCGATTTTTTTTTTTTTTCACGCACTTTTTTTTTTCTATTTCTTTTTTATTATTCATTTGGAACGCATCTAATCCGTAAGGACCCATTGTTCCTTTGGAACGCATTTAGTCCGTCAGGACCTATTGTTTCTTAGAAATGCAACTAGTCCATCATGACCCATTGTTCCTTTGGAACGCATCTAGTCCATCATGACCCATTATTCCTTTGGAACGCAACTAGTCCGTAAGGACCTATTGTTCCTTTTGAACGCATCTAGTTCGTCAGGACCCATTGTTCTTATGGAACGCAACTAGTCTGTAAGGACCTATTGTTCCTTTTGAACGCATCTAGTCCGTCAAGACCCATTGTTCCTATGGAACGCAATTAGTTCATAAGAACCCATTATTCCTTTGGAACGCATCTAGTCCTTCAAGACCCATTGTTCCTTTGGAACGCAACTAGTCCGTAAGGATTTATTATTCCTTTTGAACGCATCTAGTCCGTCAGGACCCATTGTTCCTATGGAACGCAACTAGTTCGTAAGTACCCATTGTTCCTTTGGAACGCATCTCGTCCTTCAGGACCCATTGTTCCTTTAGAATGCAACTAGTCTATAAGAACCCATTATTCCTTTGGAATGCATCTGATCCATCAGGACCCATTGTTCCTTTGGAACGCATCTAGTCCGTTAGGACCCATTGTTCCTTTGGAACGCAACTAGTCCGTCAAGACCCATTGTTCCTTTAGAACGCAACTAGTCCGTCAAGACCCATTGTTCCTTTGGAACGCATCTAGTTCATCAGGACCCATTGTTCCTTTGGAACATAACTAGTCCGTAAGGACCCATTGTTCCTTTAGAACGCATCTAGTCCGTCAGGACCCATTGTTCCTTTGGAACGCATCAAGTCCGTCAGGACCCATTGTTCCTTTAGAACGCAACTAGTCCGTGAGGTCCCATTGTTCATTTAGAACGCATCTAGTCCATCAGGATCCATTGTTCTTTTGATACGCTTCTAGTCCATCTGGACGCATTGTTCCTTTAGAACGTAACTAGTCCATGAGGTCCCATTGTTCATTTGGAACGCATCTAGTCCGTCAGGACCCATTGTTCCTTTGGTACACTTCTAGTCCGTCAGGATCTATTATTCATTTGGAACGCAACTAGTCCGTAAGGACCTATTGTTCTTTTGAAACGTATTTAATCCATCAGGACCCATTGTTCTTTTGAAACGCGTCTAGTCCGTAAGGACCAATTGTTCCTTTGGAACGTATCCAGTCCATCAGGACCCATTGTTCCTTTGGAACGCATCTAATTTGTCAGGACCCATTATTCCTTTGGAACACAACTAGTCCGTAAGGACCCATTGTTCCTTTAGAACGCAACTAGTCCATAAAGACCCATTGTTCCTTTGGGACGCATCTAGTCCATCAAGACCCATTGTTCCTTTGGGACGCATCTAGTCCGTCAAGACCCATTGTTCCTTTGGAACGTATCTAGTCCGTCAGAACCCATTGTTCCTTTGGAGCGTAACTAGTCTGTAAGGACTCATTGTTCCTTTGGAACGCATCTAGTCCATCAGGACCCATTGTTCCTTTGGAACGCATCTAGTCCATCAAGACCCATTGTTCCTTTAGAACGCAACTAGTTCGTAAGGACCCATTGTTCCTTTGAAACACATCTAGTCCATCAGGACCCATTATCTCTTTGGAACGGAATTAGTCCGTAAGGACCCAATGTTCCTTTGGAACACATCTAGTCCGTAGGGACCCATTGTTTCTTTGGAACGCATCTAGTTCATCAGGACCCACTGTTCTGTTGGAACAAAAAAAATCTTCTGTGAAGATTTTGGAGCGAGAGTACGACACCATAAATAAAGAAACTACTTTGGATGTCAGAACGTCTCTTGTTGGCCGCTTTGCACCGAATCCGCTTCACTCTGATCCTCTGTACCATCATTTGCTAGAGTGGTCCCACATATCTCCCCGTAAGCTCTCCAACCTTGGCTGTAATTAGAATAAGGAGATAAGCTCGATTTTAGATGTTTTGATTTTACGCTACGCACTTCATGAGCAATTTTTTTTTTTTTTTAAACAAAGATATTGTCATTGTTTGTTTGTTCAGCCGTTCACAGTTTATACTCTTGCGGGCCAGGAGTAATACAAAGATTTTTTTTTTTTTTTTTTTTTTTTTTAGGACCATACATAGTTTTAGCTCATGTAGGCCAGGAGTATAGTGCAGTTTAAGCTTATACGATCAGGAGCATTGCTTTCTTGGGTAGTAGCGCTTCAGGAACTTGCCATTAATGGGTCCCACTTTTACTCCGTCTTCATTAATAATGAGATATGCGCCGTTAGTATAAACTT